CTCCAAGACGGCCCGCGACGCCTCCTACACCGCACCAGGCCGGCCCCAGAGAGCTCCAAGCGGCCCCCACGACGGCTCAAGAGGGCCCCAAGACGGCACAAGAGGCACCGAAAACGGTCCAAAGGAGTTCCGACACGGACCCCGAGAGGCGAAACAATAAATTCACATAAGCCCTCCACATGCCCAGGCCGCTCAAAAGGCCAAACAAAGGCCCCGAGATACACCAGAGCATACCCCAAGAAGCTTGAACAATTGCGTCTCACACGGCTTCTCGTCCGCCTTATCACCCTCCTCCTCCTCCTCGTCATTTTTTCTGGTTGTCCACTTCTCTCCCGGTCTCAGGAAATCTAAACATATTCACGGAACTGCCCGGAACAGCATTCCTCGAGTGTTTTTTTTTTTTTTTTCTCTTCGCCGCCCTGTTCCATCGTCATTCCCTGATCCTCCGCCTGCTGCGGCTGCTCTTCATGCTACTCCCGCGCCTCCCCCTTCCCCCAACTCCCACTCCCCTTTCTCCATATTCTCACCCACCTGCTTGTGGCGCCCTCCCGGTCTCTCGAAGTATGTCCCCGGAGCGCCATCCGGGAACACAATTTCTTTGCTTGCGTGACGTTCGACTGTTTCTTTTGTTATTCTCCACCCTGCCTCTTCGACTTTCTTCCCATGTCCTCCTCCTGCTCCGGCTGCTCAACATGCTACTCCTGCACATCCCCTTGTCCTTCTTCTACCTCATCCTGCTCCCCCTGAACCTCCCTTCCTCCCGCTCCCCTTCTTCTCCTCCTCACCCTCCTTCCCTTCCGCCTACTCCTTATGTCCTGCTCGTCCTGCTCCCCCTCCTCTTCCTGCCGCTCACCTTGTCCTGCGTGTCTGTCCTCCTCGTCCTTCTCATCCTCCTGCTCCTCCCCCTCCTCTTCCTCCTCCTCCTCCTCCTCCTCCTCGAGATTCCTCCTCCTGCTCTAGCCCTCCTCCTCCTTCCTGTCCTCCTCCTCCTTCTCGGGCTCCTCCTCCTCCTGCTGTCGCGCAATGTGTTCTCGGGAAGGTTCCCCGGGAATGTAATTCCGCGTGCCTCCCTTTCTCCACCTCACTGATATTATCTTCTCGTTCCCCTCCTTCTCTTTCTCGGGCTCCTCCTCCTCCTATCGCGCAAGATGTTCCCAGGAAGATTCCCGAGAACATAAGTCCCATCCCCTTGCTCAAGCGCCTGATCCCTCCTGGGCGGCCCTTCCCCCTCCCCCTCCTTCCTCCGATCCTCCTCCTCCGGCTGCTCTTCCTCCTATTCCTGTTCCTCTCCCTCTTCTTCCTCCGCCCCCCCTGCTCCCCCTCGGCTTTTTAACTCTCCCCCTTGCTTCTACCGTGCGTCCTTCCTCGTCACTCCGCGGGTCGTGGGGCCGAAGAGTCTCGGAAACCGATGGGACGTGGGGCCGCGATTGAGGATCTTCGACCCTAGAGGTCAGGGGCGTCCAGGGACCGACGGATTCGGAGGACTCCTGGGGCCGACTTCAAGGGTCGTGGGGCTTACGGTTCCCAGAGGTATCCGGACCGGGGAGGGCGCCCGGATCGGGGGGCGCCCGGACCAGGGAAGGGGGGGGGGAGGAGGAATGGCAGAGGATATTGAGGAGGAGGAGGAGGATGGGGGAGGAAAAGGAGGAGAGGGAAGAGGGGGGGGAGAAGAACGTGTAGGAGGAGCAGGAGCAAATGAGGAAGGAGGAGGAGGAGGTGGTGGAGGAGAAGGAAGGAACTGAGGAAACGGAGGAAAGAGACAGACGAGGAAGGGGGGGAGAAAGAGGACGAAGGAGGAGGAAAAATATAATAATGAGGAAGAGAAGGAGGAGGAGGAGGAGGAGGAGAAGGACGGACACACACACACACACATATATATACATATATATATATATATACATAAGAAAATGCCTGCCTTGATACTTCTGCCAGGGCCTTGCCGTGGTCTCGGCTAGAACCAAACCGCGCGCGATCGTTCTAGTGTATATATATATATAGATAGATATCGGAGTAGGCCGGGTGCGTGTGTGCATATATATATATATATACATAGAGAGAGAGAGAGAGAGAGAGAGGAGTAGGCCGGGGGGGGCAAAAACCGGTGCCATCATCCCCATGGGCGCCTCTTTGAACCTTTGGGGGGTAGCAGACCCCCTGGGCTTGCCCAGGCCGCTTCCAAATTGCCCGCGACAGGCCACGCGGGCCGTATCAAAAATCAAAAAAAAAACTTCAAGGGGCCCCGAAGACGCCCAAGAGCGCCCCAAGAGGGCCCGAGATGGCTTGAAGATGGCCGACGAGGGCCCCGAGAGGGCCTTCAATTGGCAAAAATCTGCAAATTCCCTTCGTAACGCGTGCATTGTCAGCGTGCTCGCCGGCTTCATCTTCGCAGCGCCCCAGACGCCCTCGCGGAGCCCCGACGCAGCCCAAGAGAGACCCGAGAGGGCCCCAAACGGCCCAGAAGGGTCGGCCTGTCGGGCTGACGGAACCCCCGAGACGGCCCAAGAAACCCCAAAGGTTGCCCAGGAGGCCCCCGAGACGGCCTCAGGGAGGGCCAAGAGGGCCTCGTTCGAAATTATGTTCCCAGAAGCCTCTCCAGGAACATGATTTCCGGGTTCCCAGGGCGCCCAAGAGGCCCACAAGACAGCCTCAGCAAGGCCCAGGAGGGCCCGAGATAGCTTCAAGATGGCCGAAAAGGGCCCCGAGAGGGCCTTCAAGAGGCAAAAAGTCTGCCAATTCCCTTCGTAAAGCGTACATTTTCAGTATACTCGCTTGCTTCGTCTTCACAGTGCCCGAAACGCACCCGAAGAGCCCCAACGCAGTCCAAAGCGAGACCCAAGAGGGCCCAAGACGGCCCTCGTCCCATGGGGCTCGCGGAACCGCCCAAGACGGCCCAAGAGGCCCCAATGCCGGCCCAGGAGGCCCCCAAAACGGCCTCACAAAAACATACATTTTCAGCATACTCGCTTGCTTCGTCTTCAGAGTGCCCCAGACGCCCCCGAGGAGCCCCAAGAGAGACCCAAGAGGGCTCCAGACGGCCCAGAAAGATCGTCCCGTGGGACTTACGGAACCCCCCAAAACGGCCCAAGAGGCCCCAATGCCGGCCCAGGAGGCCCCCAAGACGGCCTCAGGGAGGCCCAAGAGGGCCTCGTTCGAAATCATGTTCCCGGAAGCCTCTCCGGGAACATGATTTCCGTGTTACCAGGACGCCCGAGAGGCCCACAAGACAGCCTCAGCAAGGCCCAGGAGGGCTCGAGATAGCTTCAAGATGGCTGAAGAGGCCCCCGGAGACCACCAAGAGGCTCCCACGAAGCCCCGTGAGGCGCCCAAGAGGCCCCCAGGAAGCCCCAAGAGACTCCCAAAGAGCTCCCAGGGAACGCCCAAGAGACCCCCCAACACACCCCAACAAACCATGTCCCCAGAAAACCTTCTGGGGACATGGTTCACCATGGGCCCGCGAGTCTCCGGAGGCTTCGAAGTACCATTATGCTTCAGGAGAGCTGTCTGGGAAGCTGATTGGGAACATGACTGATCGCCTTCTCGCGGCCCTCCGCAGATCGTTTCGCGCAAAGTTGCCCCAAGTGCCCTCTTGAGTCGACGACGACGACGAAACGACGACGACGACGACGACGACGACGACGACGACGACGACGACGACGAAACGACGACGACGAAACGACGAAACGACGAGACGACGACGACGACGACGACGACGACGACGACGACGACGACGACGACGACGACGACGACGACGACGACGGCGGCGCGCCCCAGTAGGCGACGACGACATTACGACGACGACGACGACGACGACGACGACGACGACGACGACGACGGCACGCCCCAACAGGCTCCCCAAGACGCCCCAAACCCATGCTCCCAAAAGGCCTTCTGGGAACCCGATTCATACGGCCTCCGCACCCCTACGCCACCATTTTCCTCGAAGGCCTTTCGGAATGCAGATTGGCATGCTTGGACTGTGGTCCATTACTTCAGTGGAGCAGTGAATTCGTCAAGGCCTGGGGCCGATGGTTCTAGTATATATATATATATATACACATACATATGCACTAGTTTTTTAACAACAAAAAGACAAGCTACTATGACATCCCGTGGGGGATACGGGGCCCCCGAGGTCGGTGGCCCGCTGTCATCCTTCGCTGCCCGCATCGTGGCTGGGCTCCCCCGAGACGCCGGTGGCCCGAGGCCTCTCCCGTCGTTGCCTCCTCTCGTGGCCCCCCCCCCCTTTGCAGCGGCCAGCCCCCCCCCCCCCCAATCGCAGCTGCCGCCCCCCCCCCCCCATCGCAGCGGCCGGCCCCCCCCTCCCAATCGCAGCGGCCGGTCCCCCCCCCAAGTTTCGGCGGCCCGGTGCCCCCCCACGTCGCGGCCCTCCTTCTCGGCCACGCGCAGGTGGGGGTGGGGGGAGGGGGGGAAGGTTTCTTTGGAGGCACCCTTGCTTTTTGGAAGGCGCGGGCCATGTCTGTAGACGGAAGGCCGGCGCCTTCTGAGAAGCAGCTTCCTTCTAAGAAGCCTTCCCCCCTCCCCCCACCGACTTGTGCTCGCCGCCGACCATCGCCGTCATTGTGCGAAGCTGCTTGGAGTCTTCAGCCGCAGGGGCGTCATCTGGTCGGAGAGGGAGCTGTTGCATCTAGAACTCGAGACGTCAACATGTCGGCGGCGAGCGAGGGGGGGAGAGTGAGAAGGAAAAGGCCTTCTCAAAACGCTCGGAAGTCCCCCGGTCTTCTGAGAAGTTTTCTGAGCCTTCCCCGAATACAAAGAAAGCTTCTCAGAGGGCGCGAGGGCTTCTGAGAAGCCCCGCCGCCTTTGAGAAGGCCTTCTCCTTCTCACTTCCCTCCCTCGCTCGCCGCCGAGTTCAGAGTCTTCTGCCGCAGGGGTGTCATCCAGTCGGAGTAGGAGCTGTTGTATGTAGAGGTCGAGGCATCAGCATGACGGCGCGTGCGTGCACGCTGCCAACGCTTATAAGTGCAGCGCGCCCCGCTCAGGAAAGGGCGATCACCTTGGGGGATTTCCCAGACCCGCGGATGATGCAGGACGCCCGCTGGGACAGAAGGATGACTGGCAGATTTCGCCTCCATGAGGAGTATGTAGCGTCTGGCGGGACGGAGCAGTGGACTGTGAGCGCCGACGGGAGGCCCTCCTTACCCACCCACCAGGCCACCCTGGCCCAACCCGCAGGCCCCAATGGGCCCTCCATTCCCAGAAGGGGGGTGCGTCGGTCAGAGGAGGAACAGATACCCATACCGCTGCCTTTCGGCCGTCTTCCTTTTTTTTCGGCCTCCTGGAGGCCCTCGTCGCCATCGCTGGATTCTCTTCGAATCCTGGTCAGAACGCACCCTGGGAGAGGTCAGGGGATTAGCGTTAGGTCGGGCATGTCCTCCTTCAGGCGGATTGCGAACGACTGACGGCCGGTGCCGCCGACCCTGCAAAGGACCACGACGTCGGCGACGAAGCGGGCGGAGACGGAGGTCGTGGAAAATGAGGAGGAGGAGGCGAGGTGGAGAAGGAGGAGGAGGAGGAGGAGGAGGAGAAGGAGGAGGAGGAGGACGAGGACGAGGAGGATGAGGAGGAGGAGGAGGAGGAGAAGGAAGAGGAGGGAGGAGGGGCGAGGAGGAGCGTGGAGGTGGAGGTTGGAGCAGGAGGGGGGAGGAGGAGGAGGGGGAGGGAGGAGGAGGAGGAGGAGGAGGAGGAGGAGGAGGAGGAGGAGGAGGAGGAGGAGGTTGATGAGTTGGAGAGGAGGAGGAGGAGGAGGAGGAGGAGGAGGGGAGGAGGAGTAGGCCAGGGGGGTGGCGGGAGAAGGAGGAGTTGGAGGAGGAGGAGGAGGCGGAGGAGGAGGAGGAGGAGGAGGAGAAGGAGCAGGAGGGTGGCCGAAGAGAGGGCCCCGGCGGCGCCAGAAAGCCTCGATCCTCGAGCCTGGGGTTCGGAGTCCGCAGAGTGAGCAGGAGGAGGAGGAGGGAGGAGGAAGAGGAGGAGGATGAGGAGGAGGAGGAGGCGGAGGGGGAGTTGTTCTACATGTTCAGTCTTTCGTCATTTTCTGCCTCCAGGGGCCATTTTTGGAACCAGGAAGCCGCGCGGGTTTCCGGAACCGCGCGGGGACCACGCCGGACGCGCGGGGAGTGAAAGCGTATTTGGGTGGGGACTCCCCCGGGGATCCCCCCCGGGACCCCCCCGGGACCCCCCCGGGACCCCCGTTCCCGCCCCCGCCGGGGAAGGGACAAAGGGAAGGGGCTTCCCTTTGACGTGGTTACAACATGGGTCGATTTCCCTCAAGCCCGCTAGAGCACTGCAACGACGACGACGACGAACGGCACAACCCCTCACACACGCCGACAGGGTCGGCTGATTTTTGAAGACAAATATGAATTATCCCGGCAAAGCAACCTAACAGCGATGTGTATAAGCATATCTAGAAGCATTCCCCTGAAGATTCAGGTGAGAATCCAGTTGTAGAATTCTGCTGTTCTCGCAGTCGCAGTCGCATTCGCAATGACAGTCGCAGCGTCAACGGGCTTAGGATCCAATGGAATCCTAAGGATTCCTAGGGATTCCTAAGGCATCCTTAGGCATCCTTAGGAATCCATAGGAATATTAAGGAAACCTTGGGAATCCTTAGGAATCCTGATTCCTATGGATTCCTAGGGATTCCGAAGGATTCCTGAGGAATCCTAAGGATTCCTAAGGTTTCCTGAGGATGCTTAACTATGCCTACGGATTCCTAAGGATGCCTACGGATTCCTACTAAGGATTCCTAGGGAATCCTCAGGATTCCTATGGATTCCTACGGATGCCTCAGCCTGCCTCAGTTTCAGCCTCAGCCTCAGCCTGCCTCGGCCTCAGCCTGCGTCAGCCTCAGCCTGCCTCGGCCTCAGCCTCAGCCTGCCTCAGCCTCAGCCTCAGCGTCAGCCTCATGCTGCCTCGGCTTGCCTCAGCCTCAGTCTCAGCCTGCCTCGGGTTCAGCCTGCCTCGGCCTCAGCCTGCCTCAGCCTCCCCTCCTCCCCCCCCCCTTCCCCCCCCCCCTTCATTCAGCTTCACCTTGTCTCAGCTTCGGCCTGCCTCGGCCTCATCCTCAGCCTCAGCCTCGGTCTCAGCCTCAGCCTATCTCGGCCTGAGCCTGCCTCGGCCTCAGCCTCAGCCTCAGCCTGCCTCAGCCTCAGCCTCAGCCTGTCTCAGCCTCAGCCTGCCTCAGCATCAGCCTCAGCCTCAGCCTCAGCCTGCCTCGGCTTGCCTCAGCCTCAGCCTCAGGCTGCCTCAGCCTCAGCCTCAGCCTCAGCCTGCCTCAGCCTCAGCCTCAGCGTGCCTCAGCCTCAGCCTTCATCAGCCTCAGCCTCAGCCTGCCTCAGCCTCAGCCTCAGCCTCAGCCTCAGCCTCAGCCTCAGCCTCAGTCTGCCTCAGCTTCAGCCTCAGCCTCAGCCTACCTCGGCTTGCCTCAGCCTCAGCCTCAGCCTGCCTCGGCCTCAACCTCAGCCTCAGCCTGCCTCAGCCTCAGCGTCAGCCTCTCAGCCTCAGCTGCATCAGCCTCAGCCTCAGCCTCAGCCTGCCTCAGCCTCAGTCTCAGCCTGCCTCAGCCTCAGCCTGCTTCAGCCTCAGCCTGCCTCGGCCTCAGCCTGCGTCAGCCTCAGCCTCAGCCTGCCTCAGCCTCAGCCTGCCTCAGCCTCAGCCTGCCTCAGCCTCAGCCTCAGCCTGCCTCGGCGTGCCTCAGCCTCAGCTTCAGCCTGCCTCGGCCTCAGCCTGCCTCGGCCTCAGCCTGCCTCAGCTCGGGCATTCAGAATATCGCACAGGACTGGTGTTCTGGGAACGCGAAGATCACGAAGTGGCCCACAGTTGGCTCTGGGCAATAAAAATATTGTACAGGAATGATGTTCTGGGAACACGAGCACGAAGTTGCCTACAGTTGGCTCCGGGCATTCAAAATGTGGCCTGGGAATGGTGTTCTGGGAACACGAAGAACACGAAGTGGCCTACAGTTGGCTCCGGGCATTCAAAATGTGGCCTGGGAATGGTGTTCTGGGAAGACAACCATCACGAAGTGGCCTACAGTTGGCTCCGGGCATTCAAAATGCGGCCTGGGAATGGTGTTCTGGAAACACGAAGAACACGAAGTGGCCTACAGTTGGCTCTGGGCATTCAAAATGTGGCCTGGGAATTGTGTTCTGTTGGCCCCGGGCATTCCAAATGTAGCCTGGGATAAGGTTCTGGGGAGTCCCCAGTTTTCCCCGGCATCCCCCGGATCCTGCCCAGACCCCCCTGAGGAATCAGGATGCCTTTTGACCCCGCTAGAAACCTATCAGTCTTCGCTGTTGGTAAATATTCAAACAAAACAATAATTAGGAATAGTCCCCTGATTATGTTTTTTGTGTGTTTAAATATTGTTTCAATAGTCTTTCTGTAGAGGGACATGCCCGACTTAAGACTACCGGTATCGGCACCTTTTTGTTTCCCAAGTCGGGGACCGTCGAACAAAACACCATTTGTGGAGCCCGTGCCCCCCCCCCCCCGATCCCGAAATCTGGGGCTTCGTGTCTGGTTGGGGCCGTCTGGTAGGCAGTCCTCCCTGGGAAGGTGGAGGTGGGGATGGAGCGCAGAGGAGGCGGAGTAGGAGTAGGAGGAGGAGGAGGAGGAGGAGGAGGAGGAGGAGGAGGAGGAGGAGGGGGAGGAGGGGGAGGACGGGGAGGAGGGGGAGGACGGGGAGGAGGGGGAGGAGGGGGAGGAGGGGGAGGAGGAGGAGGAGGAGGAGGAGGAGGAGGAGGAGGAGGAAGAAGAAGAAGACGAAGAAAACGAAAAAGACGAAGAAGACGAAGGAGACGAAGGAGACGCATAATAATAAGAAACATAAACAGACTAATACGAATGCGAATAATAACATTATTATTAATAACAACAATACTGATAATGCTAATGATACGAAGACTAGTAATAAGAATAATAACAACACGAATAATACTATTAATCCTAATAATACTAACAAGAATGATAATAACAACATCAATAATACGAATACTAATAAGACTCATAATAATAATAATCACAATAATAATAAGACAAATAATACTAATAATAATAATAATACTAAGAATTCTAAGAATAATAAAAATAGTAATAAGAAGAATCATACTAATAATAATAAAAAGAAGATGAGGAGGATGATGATGAGGAGGAGGAGGAGGAGGAGGAGGGGGGGGAAGGGGGGGAGGGGGAGGAGGAGGAGGAGGAGGAGGAGGAGGAGGAGGAGGCGCAGGGGGCCATCGGGGGGAGGCACCGTGGGCACCAGGCAAGGCCGGCGGCGCAGGGCGGAGGGGAGGCGGGGGCGGTTTGGTAGGCAGTCCTCCCTGGGGAGGCGAAGGGTTCAGTCAGGCATGTCCTACAGAGTAGTAAAAAAGATAGTCTGATGACGACTTTCGATGCTCCTTTGACTATGTTTGGTCGTTCTTGAAATAGGGCTTCTTTCTCTTCCACAGACCGCCGGCAGGAGGACATGCCCGACCGAAGCGAAGGGGGCCATCGGGGGGAGGCACGTGGGCACACTGGGAAGGGCGAGCGCAGGGGCGGAGGGGAGGTGGGGGGGGGGCGGGCGCGCAGCAGAGGGCGGGGGGGCGGGACCAGCAGGGGGTGGGTCGACCCACCCCCTGCTGGTCCCATGCCTCGTGGGGCTTTCGAGCGGACCAAACATGAGGGGGGACCTCGCCTGTCCCCCAAATTGGTGTCTTCTCTTGTGCCCGACGCGGGCTCGATGAAGACTCGACGCGGACTTGGCGTGGATTCGACGCGGATTCGACACGGATTCGACGCGGATAGGGCCGCATGCAGCATAACAAGCATGTGGGGCCCAACCTTGGGATAGAGTGGAAGACCATGCCAAGATGCACCCTGCTTGCCTCCAGGGTCCTCTGGATTTCTTGTGTTTCGATGGTATTTTTCTATGGGAAGCGGCACGTTCCTGCACCAAACATGAATGGACATCCGGGGGTCTCAGGGTTGGGTTTCTTGTGGAAGGCTTCTTGTGGTCGAGCTCCCACTGTATACGATGGGGGGGAGTCCATCCTCGATAGGGGAATCGCCCCCTTGGGGTAGATCCCAGAGGTCTCTCCTTTTCTGAACGGCCCAGCTTTTCGGGCAGAACCCGGGGACTGGGGGAGAAAAGCCGCTTTGGAAGGTCGGCGTCACGGGTGCCAGGTCTGTGTCGTCCGACAGCTGCTTTGCGTCGCTGCTGGCGCCCCGCTCGTTGGGCAGTCCTCCGTGTGGGGCAGCCTCGTTCGGGAGGGGGAGAGTGTTAGAACCGGCACTTTTCACAAATTATTTGGGGAAGCTGTGAAAAGTAGCACAGAGACGACAAACGCTCGCGATTGGAAGCTTCAGGTACGCAGCGCGAGATAAAGGAGTGAAGGGGCGCCGAAGGGATCAGTGGCGCGCCGCCGTTTGGGGCCCGTCGGCGCGTTACTCCTTCGCCCTTGCTCGAAGGCCCTGCATCTCTTCATCAGTCGCATTAAGTCGGGCATGTCCCTCTACAGGAGGCGTATCCAAGAATAGTAAAACAGTAGTCTGGTGACGATGTGTGTCGTGCTCTCTTGATTATCTGGGCTGCTGGTTTGCCTCTTTTATGTTTCTTCCAACATCAGCCTGTAGGAGGACACGCCCGACTTAACAGCAGGGCTGGACCTGAACGCTGTTTTGCTGCACTTGGGCCGTGGTTTTTTGTTCTCTGTTTGGCAGGGAGGCGCAGGAGAACGGGCGGAGCAGCACGAAAAGCACGACGAAAAAAAGACGAAGAGCAGCGTTCAGGCCCAGCCCCGCTCAGCAGCAGCACGCTGTCGAGCTCGCCACGGCGGCGCGCCACCGAGGCTGCAGCTCTGCTCCCCCGCGTCGCGGGGGGGGGGCAGCCCGAGGAGCAGGCCCGCCTGCCCGTGAGCCTCGCCCTTTCGCGGCCCCGCTGCAGGGTCGCGCCGCCCCGGTGCGGCGGCAGAGGCTTGCTTCGGACGGTGGCCAGGGGCAGCGACAGCCATCGGTCGTTGCGAGTTGGCGTTTTGGGATCCCCAGATTCCAGTCTGCTTTGAGCGCCTTCCTACGTCAATGATCGGGTGGCTTCACCTTTTCCGTCCTCTTGGAGCGCGGACGGAACCCAATCTCTTTTCACCGCCTTCCTGCCTCACGTTTCTACTTATTTCTTCCGAACGATGGGTAGGGGGGGATAGGCATAGGGGGGATGCATTGGCCATCGATCGCCGATAGGGGCCCGATAGCTCCAGCCCGCCCAGGAACGTGCGAATTCATCGTCGGGGACCTACCGCCGATCTATCGGCGATGTGTCGCCCATTCGAGGTCGGTGTTTCCCCCCCCTGATGCCTATCCCCGCTTATCGCTGCCCCTCACGTGGGGGCACGGAAAATGGCACACACACACACACACCACACAGAGCACACAGAACACACAGAACACACAGAACACACACACACCACACACACAATACACACACACACAACACAGCACACACACACAACACACACAACACGCAAACAACACACAACACACACACACACACTACACACACCACACACACCACACGCAACACACAACACACAACACACAACACACACAACACACAACACACGACACGCACCACACACAACACACACAACACACATGCGACACACGCGCAACACACAGCACACACAACACACACAACACACACCACACACACACACACATCACACACAGCACACACACACAACACACAACACATGCACCACACACCACACACAGCACACACAGCACACAAGACACAACACACAACACACACCACACAACACACACAGCACATCACAACACACAACACACAACACATAACACACACAACACACAGCACACACATCACACAACACACAACACACACACGTACGCGCACGCGCACGCGCACACGCACACGCACACGCACGCGCACGCGCACGCGCACTCGCACACGCACACGCCCGCGCACGCGCCCGCGCACGCGCACGCGCACGCGCACGCGCACACGCACACGCACCCGCACCCGCACCCGCACCCGCACCCACACACACACACAGGCACACACACACACACCAACACACACAAACACACACACACACGCACATACGCACATACGCACATACGCACACGCACACTCGCACACGCACACGCACACGCAGACACGCAGGCACGCAGGCACGCACACGCACACGCACACGCTCGCGCACGCGCACGCGCACGCGCACGCGCACACGCACACGAACACGCACTCGCATGCGCACGCGCACACGCACACGCACACGCACGCGCACGCGCACGCGCACGCACCCCCACACACAGACACACAGACACACACACACACACACATACACACGGCGTGGGACATACGAACGATAGCGTCGAGAGTTTTGGAGGTATTTCAAGGTCGAACGGCACACGCGATGTCACGAACCAGCGCCGATTTGTCATTGGAGGACCTTGTTGCATTCGCATGTTGATTCGGCGCGCTGATTTCATGACCAGGTATTCGATGGATCGGCGGCTCGGAGCTCCGTAATTGCAGGGCGACGTGGATAAGGTTGGAGGCCAGGCGGGAGGGTGGGACTGACATTGAGAAACCAGATTTTGTAAAGCTGTTCGCTCAGGCATGGCCTCCGATGGTCCGCATGCAGCACGGCATAGATGAACTGTTGTTCTTATGCGTTGGTATTCTGCGATTGGCGGCGCGAGAATCCTGATGCTCCTTGTGGTCCAGCTCAGCTGACGTCACACAGGAGTCGGTGGCTAGGGTCCGCAAGTCTCGCCTTGTGTCTATTCCACGATCGCTGATTCTCCGCGGGGCCCTGGGGCCCATCGGCGCCTTGGGGCGAATGATCAGCCCCGAGGGCCCTCCCACTTGCACAACCCGCCTTCGAGCCCCGAGCGGACCACCTGCGCCCATGCAGTGAATGTTTGCCGCTCACTAGAATGGGGAGCGGGAGAGAGGGGGGCGGGGACTTGCCGTGTGTAGGAGGGAGCGGGGAGAGACGAGGAGAGAATTATATAGAAATTGTGGTGGAGCGTTGTCGTTTGGCAGCGAGCGGCGACAGCCAGGGCATGCAAGCAATTCGCAGAAAGGAAAGTCTGAGAACTTGTGCAGCGAAGCAAGGAGAAACTTGCCCAAGTAGATTTCACCAAGTTCGCCAAGCTGGACAAGAAAAAGCTTGACGTGCTGGAGGCAGGGCTTCTTTTGTGTACGTGCACAGACGGTGCGATCTTGCTTGACGTGCGTGTCTTCCGCGGTGGATCTCATGTTGATGCGCCGACTGTATGCTGCGAGGACTTCGCGCTCTAATTCGGGAAGCAGGCTCCGAATAGTACTCCTTGTGCTTGGTAAGACGCCGCGTCTGTCGTGTACGAGCAATGGGTCCTAGGGTATGACCGCGCCGAGGACCAGGGTTGAGCCGGGTATCAGGTCGCGCCTGATCTATGTCACCATTGAGCCGGCTTCGCCCACCCGCGCGCGCGTAGCAGCTTAGTACTCATCCGAAACGGGGGATGCGGAAGCCTCTATGTCTCTGTCACTGTGTCGGTCTGTCTTTCGGTCTTTCTGTCTGTCTGTCCGTCTCTCTCACTATCTTTGTCTATATCTCTCTGTACATGTGTACACACATCTGTATACATATATATATATATGTACACCCAACCCTCCTGTGTTGGGTTCTCGTTTCGAAAAGAGCATTGTGATCTCCACTCCTTCCTCCCCCTCGCCTGCATGCTGCCTCGTACTTCCTGCCTCATGTCTCCTCTTGCTTCTCTTCTTCTTCTTGGCTTTTCTCCTTCGTCTGGCTTGCGTCCCTGGATGGCTGGGAAATGCGCAATTGCCGCCTCTTTCGTGGGCTCCTGGGAGGTCCCGCGGAGTGTGGGAGACAGGGATCCAGCTGGGACCTCGCGGCCCTTGGGGGCTGCGAAGTGTGCAATTGTGGTCATTTTCGTGGGCCCTCGCGCATCGCGCGACCCGAAGCGCGAGGCTCAGTGATATGGAAGAGAAGCTGCATCTCCCGCAGGGGGCGGCGCGCGACTCCCTCGCGCCTCGCGCGGCGCGAAGGACGAGGTTAGGCGACTTACGCAACGAGGACGAAGAGGAGGAGGAGGAGGAGGAGGAGGAGGAGAAAGAGGAGGAGAGAGAGGAGGAGGTTATGGTTATCTGTAAGAGACGGAGGAGGAGATTCGCCTCCCTTTCCCGCCTCTTTTTGTGAGGCTCACCTTGAATTGAAGAGCTATCTCCCACTGTTGCTACCTCCCACCCTCTTCCCGCAGCAGGCTGGGCGGGAGGGGTTCGCGAGCCTCGGAGGTTGCCCGACACTGCCCGCAGTGTGAGCGCCATGAGGAGACGGACTGATTTATGGTAAAGTAAGCGTGGCCTGGTGACTGGGTGGATATGCTGACCCGTCGCTGTTTGGCTCGAGTGTTACATGCTGCTGTCATGCGGCGTCTCATACATACCTGAATACCGTGTCTTGCTCATCATCGACATCATGAAACCATTCATTCTAGACAGCTCGCATTTCAAGTGGCGCAATGTGTCACCCGCAGGGGCGCGATGATAATCGCGAGTTGCGGCCTGGGCCAGAGCGTTGCCCCTTCTCGAGCAAGGCGGCGCGAGGGTTAGAAGATACCCGCGCGCTGCACGTCGCAGACCGCGATGCGCGAAGCCAGGTGGCCAGGTTCAATGAGCGCGCGGGTGGGGGGCATCGCCTCTGGGGGGGGATGTTGGAGCTGGGCCTGGGTTTCGCAGGGCGTGCAGGAGGGCGGACAATGCGCGGGGGGATGGCCCAGAGCGGCGGGCTGCTGGATGGGGTGGCACGGGGATGGAAGAGGAGGATGAGGAGGAGGAGGAGGAGGAGGAGGAGGAGGAGGAGGAGGAAGGGGGGAAGATGGCGAGGCGGCGAGGGGGGGCGGCGGAGGAGGGACAGCCACGACTGCCGTGGCCCTCCCTGGCGTTCTCTGTGTTTGTTCGGGGCCTCCTAGGTAGAAGCGTCTCGTCGCCGCGGCGGGGGTCCGCCTCGCACGGATAACGGGCCAGGGCGGACCCCCGGAGAGGGGTCCGGGGGCCGCCTTTGAGGGGCTCGGCGCGGGAGGGCCGCCGTTGTCTCAATTGGTCTTCGTCGGACAGGTGGAGGTGGGAGGGAGAAGGAGGAGGGGGGAGGAAGGAGAAGGGAGGAGGGAGGAACGAGGAAAGAGGATCAAGAATGGAGCAAGGAAGAAGGAGGGAGGAGGGACTGGACATGAGGAAGGAGGGAGGAGGCAGAAGGGAGGATTATTGTCATTCTGAGACGCTGATGAAGCCGAATTCCTGTCAGTGTGGAGAAGGGAGGAGGGAAGGGGGGGGAGCAGGAGGAGGAGGAGCAGGAGCAGGAGGAGGAGCAGAAGGAGGAGCAGGAGGAGTAGGAGGAGGAGGAAGTTCCAGAGCTCCCTGCTCTTACGTCTCCTGGCGGACGCCAGTTGATGCTCAGCAACGAGGTCCCGAAGCTCCTCCAGCTGATCCCAGAGGAGGTGGCGCCGCCGGCGTCGTCATGGCTCCTGGGCCCTCCCGTGCTCCGCGCGGCGGGGCGCCTTCGTGAGGAGGATTGAGTCGGGCACGTCCCTTTACAGGAGGAAAACTTCAAAAAGAGTAAAACATAGTCAGGGGACGATGTTTCGACTATTTGGTTGGGGCCATTTCAGGACGAGGAGAAATCCGTTCCAGAGCGTTCCGGAACGCTCTCGGAGCGTGCCGGAACGCTCGGAGAAGGCCGCGGCGCCCGAGACATCCTCCAGAGCCGCCAGATCTCAGAGATTCTCGATTCATCCTCACCCGAATTTACCCTCGTGCTGGCTTCGTCTTAGAGGGGAGCAGGGCAGGGCCCGGATCTGGTTAGTGCGAGAAGTGTCGTCTCTGCCTTCGCTTGTTGCCCTACCCCGTTTCTTCCACTCACTGCCTCTATGTCACTTGGCATCGCTCGGACGTGCGCATATTTTCTCGGCGAGAACCATCGAGGAGCATCTTGACTCATCCGGTGAAAACGAAGCGCACGGCGAGGTCCGCTTCGTCGCCCTTCCCTGCTCACCAGTGGCAATGGTACGTTCCAGGGGCCACTTCGTGCCAGCCACAGGTTTGCACTTGGAATCTGCCCTTGGTTGGCTCGCTCCACCGTCGCAGCAGTTGCTAGCGTAGTGCATTCCACAACGTGGTCGTTGCTTTGTTTATCTTTTTCCGTTGGTCCTTCCTTTTCCTCCGTTCCTTCTCATCCCTCCTTCTCTCCGTTTGTGCTAGCGTGTTTTTTGTTGCGGGATCCGTCAATCTTGATCGAAAGCACGCACGTGCAAGCTTCTTGCCACCCATTGTGTTGACATTTATGTACGCGTCGTGGCCGAATTTCGGCGACGCGGCCAAGACAGCATATTCCACAGTTGTCTTGCGCTTTTCCCTGAGTGAGCTGGAACATTGTGGAGTCCATTCTGGAAAGTCTGTGCCTTCATGACGATTGCGTCGGTGGGAACATGTTTTATGCCCGATTCATGCCAGCGGTTTCTTCGCATGCTTGACTTGTTGTCAGTGAGAAATGGGCCGCCAAGCGGCCAGAGAGTGTCATCAGGGGATGGAGCAAACATTCATCTCATATTCAGCAGGTGTCTCCCGGATTCTTGGCCGGGTGGGCTGTTCTCAATTCCCAGCGGTTCACGCTCGGGGGCGGATTCATCGCGGTGCGGTGTGAGATGCAGTCCTGCATAGCTCCATTGACACTTGCCCCACGCTGCATCTTGCTCTGGCCCGGAGGTGGCGGGAGTTGCTGACGCGACGCTGGAGCAGGTCGGTCCCGAGGCTTGCGCTTTTGCGAGCCGAGCACGACCCTGCCAGCACGCTCTTGCATGGCACACGCACACGCCTGGGCGTTTCGCCCGAGTGCGTTTAACGCTTGCCCGCGTTACGTACGTGTTCGGTGCGCTTGAGCAGAGACTGGAGCTTTCCGAGAAGGGTCGTGTACGTGGATTTGTGCCTGACCTTTGCTCCCTCACGGCGTTCCGCTGGAGGGTCCTCCCGGAGGCAAAGCAAAGACCGCAGACAGATCCCACATGGGGGAACAGGGAGCCCGCGGTCGTCGAGTTCGTCTGGCAGCCAGTGCGGCAGCCGTTTCGCCTGGGGCTTCTGTTCAATTTATATTCAGCAATCGCGCTCTCGCCTTGCCGTCTGCTTCTCGGTCCGGACGGCCGCGATCCCTCGACCCTGAAGGGAGACGACGACGACGACGACGACGACGACGACGACGACGACGACGACAATGACGGCGGCAGCGGCGACGACGACGAGGCTGACGTGGGCCAAAGTCCTCTGGGATGCTTCTTGCGATCTCTTCGGAAGGCTCTCGGGGGCATCTGGGGAGGAATGTTGGGGCCTCTTGAAAGCAACTTGGGGGCCTCTTGGGAGCCTCTTGGGGGCCTCTTGGGGGCGGCTTCCTGGGGACCTCTTGTGGGCCTCTTGAGGCCTCTTTGGAACGCCATGGGGCCTCCTGGGAGCCTCTCGGGGCCGAGGGCGCGAAATGTGCTCTCGGGTCCCCCGTCTGGGCACGCTCTTGGAGCCGTCTTGGGGGCCTCTTGGGCCGTCTTGAGGCGTTTCGGGCTGCCTTGGGGTCCTCTTGGGCTGTTTCGGGACCCTCTTGGAGGCCTCTTGGGCCGTCTTGGGGCGATCTTGGGGGCCTCTTGCACCGTCTTGGAGCGGGGGGAAGTGGAAAAGGCGAGAACGCATCGGGAAATCCTTGACCTTGGCCTCGTGGGGCCTCGCGGGAGTGCTCTCGGAGGCTTCTTGGGGCGTCCTGGAGGCCCCCTGGGCAGTCTGGAGGGCGTGAAGGCGTTTTGGACCGATCGTTCGTCGATTGGGGGCCCTCTTGGACCGTCGCGGGGGCCTCTTGGCGCACTCTTGCCCTGTCTTGGAACTTCCTGAGTCCCCGCGACCCCCAATGGGGATGCGCATCTGACCCCCCCCCGCGGAGCCCCCCCCTACCCCTCCCCTACCCCTCCGAGACCCCCCCCCCCCGACGGGGCAGGGATCACAGGGAAGGGGCTTCCCTCTGACTCGATGACGACATTGTCAGATGTTCCTCTCGCTGACAAGCTTGAGGATAAGGGTGCAGGGAAAGGGGACGACGGAGACGACGACTGACGGAGACGACGCCTCGAACACACGAGCCCCTCACTCGGGTTGACCCAAAAGGGGATCCAGCGACAAAGGGGTGGTGCAATAGATTTGGTGCAATAGATTTCTGGGGTTGTAATACGTTTTGGACGTGCAATACATTCCAGGGCGCAGATGAATTGCTGGATTTTCGCGTGCAATACATTACTTGCAATACAATGCAACACAATTCTCTGGCGCAACACATTTGCAAGGCAATTGCCCAAAATCTATTGCACCACCCCCTTTTCAGCTGGACCCCCCCGTAGGTCACCCCAACTCACACACGCCGACAGGGTGGGCGGATTTTCAGGGACAGGATCGTGCTGTCACTTCCGTCCCAGCTGCATCTTTTCCCCTCATCGTGTTTCGCCAGAGGGTTCTCATAGCTGTGAAATTGGGCCACGGAAGAGTCCCGCAGAGGGGGCGGGAGCGGACAGCAAGCCGAGACCGCCCGGTCCAGCAGCGGTCTGGCAGCCGTCTCGCTTGAGAATTCCGCCCTCCCCAAGCAGTGCTTGCACTTAGGGGTTCTTACTTGTAGAATGAGCAACTGGGCCTGTCCGGCGGCTAAGTAGCCGCCGTCGCCGCCCCGTTGCCGCGTCGTTGCCTCCCGTCGCATGGACCTGCGGGCCTGTCTGGCGGCTAAGTAGCCGCCGTCGCCGCCGCGTCGTCGCAGCCCATCGTTTGGACCTGCGGGTCGGTTTGGCCGTCATGTCGCCGCCGTCGCCGCCGCCTCGCCGCCTCGTCGCCGCCCATCGTCTGGGCCTGCGGGTCGGTCTGGCGGCTATGCCGTCGCCGTCGCCGCCCCGTCGCCGCAACAAGGGCTGCACCACATACATTCTTGTTCTAAAAAAGAAAAAGACTAGTTAAACAGACTCGACACCCCCCTGGGATTATGTCATCTCCTTTCCGTATTGGAATTTTACATGCGATTCTGCCCCATCGTTCATCTTAGGTGTGATTTTAAACCATCCCAGGGAGGCCGGTATAGGTCCCCCCGCCATTCTCTGCAAAAGATATTGTGCGCGCGCTCGTTTATCCTTATAGAACATCATCAATGTTCAAGAACCCCTTGCAGCAAACTGGACGAAGTGCGCACGCGCGCGTCGTCGCGCGCGCGCATGCCGACATCCTTCAAAAGCCTTCGGTTTCGTAAGGATTTCAAAATCGAGTGTCCAAAAACATGTACGTCTCACAACAATTTGCGCGCTTTTGCGAATTTTTGTGGAAACCATACGTTTTTCATAATTTTCAGAAAATGCTACCACACGGGCTTCGCGCGCGCATGTCGACTCGTTCGAACGCCCTTGCGCGGTCGCGAAAATCCTACAGCAGAAGGTGGGACTAAGTGCACGCACGCGCGTCGTCGCGCGCGCATGCCGAAACCCGAGTGTCTCGTAGCGAGTGGTTTCGCAGCGATCTCAAAACCGAGTGTCCAATAAACATACAAACAACACATGGTTTCGCAACATCAGTTTTCAACAAAAAAACGTGCGCTCGCGCTCTTGCGAATTCTTGAGGAAACCATTGTTTTTTCGGCATTGTCATGGAATTCTGCCAAACGGGCCTCTCGCGCCGCTTGCCGAAATCATTCGCACGCCCTTGCGCCCGTGCTGAGGGTGCACGATCCGTGTCAAACAAAACCATGCGGGCCACTCTCGCGCGTCGGCCGCGCGCGCATGTCGAACTCTGTCCAAAACCCACCGACGCGGGGACGCCGTCATCGTCGTCGGCGTGATCAGCATCGGCGCCCGCACTGACCGCGCCGTCGTCGTTGTCAACATCGTCACCAGCATCGCAACTATTGTCATCGTGTCTACCTGTGTCGACGTTGTCATGATACCGCGCCCTCCCAAGTCGCCGACTCGCGCGGAAGTGCCCGCTGGGATGTGCCCAGCGATCAGCGCCACCGCGGCCGCGTCGGTCACGCCAACCTAGCTGGCCGCTGCGCGCGCGTGCGTGGGTTGGCGCGGCCGCAGAGATGCACCAGCCAACGCCAAACACTCATCGCAATGGCCATCGCATGTATTTCGCAAACCAAGTTGCGGGTGGGTGGGATGATTGCGCGAGCAGTGGGGTTGTTCACTCACTGCGAAGAAAAATAATTGTCCTTTCTAACAGGAGAATAGATTCTACCCCCCCCGGGACTTATCCGTTCCCCTTTCGGGTATGTAAATCATTTATGATTCTGACCATTCGTCCACCCTAAATATGAAGTCAGACCATCCCAGCCAGGCCGGGTCCCCCCCCCTGAGGTTCCCTTATACAAAACACTATGCGGTGACATTTTTTTGTTCTAGCATCGCACTTCTTCACGAATCCCTTGCAAAACATGTGACGAAGTGCGCACGCGCGCGTCGTCGCGCGCGCATGCCGAAATCATTCAAAAACCTTCGGTGCGGGAAGGATTTCGCAATCGAGTTTCCAAAAACACATACAAAAACACAGGGTTTCGCAACACTGATTTGCTAAAAAAGCTTCCGCGCGAGCTCTTGCGAATTCTTAAGAAAACCATGCGTTGTTCAAGATTTTCACAACATGCTACCTAACGGTCTTCGCGCGCGCATGTCGAAATCTGTCGAACGCCCTTGCGCGTGTGCCGTCGCGAGAACCCTCTGCAAAAAACGGGACGAAGTGCAGATGCGCGCGTCGTCGCGGGCGTACGCCGAAAACCTTCAAAACCCATCGGTTTCAGAAGGATTTCAAAATCGTGCGTCCAAAAAACCTACAAAAACCGACGGTTTCGCAACACGGATTTTCAACAAAAGCGTGCGCGCGCGCTCCTGCGTCGTCGTCGTCGTCGTCGTCGCCGTCCTCCCTCCTCCCGCGTCGTCGTCGTCGTCGTCGTCGCCTACGTCGTCCTCTGTCTTTTCTCGTGTTCGTCATCGTCGTCCTCTTCGGCGTCGTGGTCGTTTCCGTCGTCGTTGTCGCCGTGGTCGTCCGTCCTCCTCCTCCCACGTCGTCGTCGTCGTCCGTCGTCGGCGTCTCGTCGTCGGTCCTATTTCGTCATCGTCGTCGTCGTCGTTGTCGTCGTCGTCTTCCCTCCCTCGTCGTCGTCGGCGTCGCCGTCCTTCCTCCTCCCTCGTCGTTGTCGTCGTTGTCGTCGTTGTCGCCGTCGTCGTCCTTCCTCCTCCCTCGTCGTCGCTTTCGTTGGCGTCGTCGTCGTCGTCTTCGTCGTCGTTGGCGTCGGCGTCGTTGTCGTCGTCGAAGTCGTCGGAGACGTCGTCGGTGTCGTCGTGGTCGTTGTCGTCGGTGTCGTCGTAGTCGGTCTTAATAGGTTTTGCAAACCAAGTTGCGGGTGGGAGGGTGGGATGTTTGCGCGAGCAGTGGAGAGGACAGCAAGTGATTGATTCTTTCTTTTCTAAAAGGAGAATAGACTTTACCCCCCCCCGGACTTCTCGGTTCCCCATTCGGGTATGTAAATCATTTATGATTCTGACCACTCGTCCATCCTAAATATGAAGTCAGACCATCCCAGCCAGGCCAGGTTCCCCCCCTGAGGTTCCCTTGTGCAAAAACACTATGCGGTGACATCTTTTGTTCTAACATAGCACTTTTTCACGAATCCCTTGGAAAAAGATATGGCGAAGTGCGCACGCGCGCGTCGTCGCGCGCGCATGCCGAAATCCTTCAAACACCTTCGGTGCGGGAAG